GAAATCCTTTGGTTCCCCTCCTGGCTTTCATAATTAAGTCCACATTCCTTACTTACACTAAGTTCCTCGGAACAGGTTCCTGAGGCTCTCAGTCCAGGCCAGCCTTTTTATGCAGATGTAGAAATTTTTACCAGCTTTTAAAATTGCTTCTTACTAATACCAGCTCTGTGGTTCATATAGGTGTGTAATTCAGCTGAGAGAAACTTGGTAAACATGACAATTTGGGTGAAACCTAATTTCCAGTTCTAGTGTACCACGATGATGCTGTACAACTCTAGTCTATCTGGGAGATGACTTCTTGGCTGTGATTTTTCAGTCAATCATTGTTTCTAAGGGCTTTTGGAAAAGTTAAAAGTTAGAATAACAATATAATAAAGGATGAACAGAAACAAACCAAATATACAATACCAGAGGGGAAACTACTCAAAATGATCTAAATATCCAACAGTTATTGAAATTACTTGAATAAAATGGGGTTACTTAACAGCATGTAAACTATGTTCCCTTTTTGGTATAAAAAAGTTATATATGTGTTCAAATATGCACTAGAAAGGATTTAAAAAGGTATACACTAAAAGGTTAGCAGTAATTGTTCTGCATGCGTGGGCCTGGGGAAATTCCTTAATGTTCTTCTGTGTTTATTTATTTTTCTGATTTTTCTTAAATGATTACATACCATGTTTTGAAAAAGAAAAGACTATACAGAAACTATAGAATAATCCTATTCTTAGTCCATCAAAATTATCAATACTAGAAATATTATTTTAACAAATTGATGTTTTTATAGAATTACCTTATCTTATGATTTCCAGCCCTTTTCTATAATACTTTGTTTTCTCAAATTAAAATGTCCTTCCCCATTCCCAACCCCATTATGAGGCTTTATTTTGTTTGTTTAATTCTGGTGATTTCTGTGTTCTTTGAAAGTCCAGATTAAGTGCCGTCATCTTCTCTGAGATTTCCTTGACTCATACTCTCATACTGCTTCAGATCAAAGGGTAATGGCAAAATTTGGCTCACACTAATCCAGCACCAATTTTTGTACAGCGCTCGAGCAAAACGTTTCCATTCTTCTAAAATGGTGGAATTCCATAGGCTTCCCACTGCTTCGAGGTAGAGGACAATTTCTAATTTGTCTCTGTTCTTTCTAGCACAGAGGTGTTTATACATGGGAGCCACTTGGTAAACAAATGCACAGGGCATAAAGCAATGGTGCATGCTCCCTTCAGAGGCTAGCGGGCAAATTACATGAGGATGCGGGGTTTATCCCCTTTGCTCACTATGTATCTCCAGCATCTGGAATGCGGTAGGCCCTCAGATGATATTGGTGGATGTTTAGTGCATCAATGTTGGTATCATATTTCTGAATTTTGTAAGTCTTAGATTAATTTTTTAGAACATGTTATTTGGCAATTTATCAAAAACAAAAGTCCTTGTTAAGAGCCTCAGAGATACAAGGTGTCTTTAGTGCATCTACTATAGACATTGCAACCTGTTATTACCTCTGCCTTTCACTCACTGGTAGCAACTATCTCATGGCAGGGATTAAATCAAGATCCTGCTGATGCTGAGTTATTAAATACCTGTGGCAGCAGGGCTGGGGAAGCAGAGTGGACTCAGCACCCTGGCACTGTTGCAAAGCAGGATGAGCTGTGCTTTCAGAGATTAATGTGCACATATAAATCACAGCCCAAACTCTTCATCTGGTCTCAGACAGTTTCTCTCCCAGTGAGTTGAGAGCTCTTTATAGAGGATGAACTAATTAGTTTTCATACCAGCTCTATGAGTTTCTAGGGAGGATGACTCGGCTCCCCATCCTATGCTGAATAATGATGGTTGTCATTTCAGAATCCAGCATGTTCACAGTACTGGATTCTGAAATCCCATGTTCTAAAAAAGTGGTTTTTTAAATGGTAAATGCACCCACTTAGTATGTGATCATACCATACTTGTTCCATTACGTACTTAATATATTTTATAGATTGAATGGAAAGGTCTATATATTTACTTAAAGTTTGCAGTGTGCCTAGTACATGCTGTTCTCTCCCAAGGCACAGAAAGCTCCAGCAAGGCTGTCTTTTAAAAAGTGAAGGAGAAAACATTTCCCAATCACTCACTTGTGGTGAGAAGGCCTGGCCAGTCTCCCCAGCCCAACAGCACCCAAAAAATCATGCTAGCCTTTTCCTTCTTACCCAGGAGAACTGCCGCACCCCTCCCTTCTGGGATTCCTTCATGGCGTAATCAATCACTCAGTTTGTCAGCAACTGTCGCTCCTCTGCCTTATCAGGATGGATTTAGAAACTGTTCACCTCTCACTCCTCACCCCCTCAATGTAGAAGAGGTTTGTCCTCAAGCACATATGAGAGGCAGGGGAAAAAAAGTCAGGCTTGTCTTCCTGTTCCAAATTCACACCTTTTACAAACCTAAATCTTACTTGTTATTTCTTTGAATAGCAATAATTAAGGTAATTATGAGCACTGAGGGAAAGAGGTCAAAATAGTGAAATTATTGATACTATTACCAAGGAAATGGAAATCTCCACCGATCTAAGAATGGGGAGGGTTTGGGGAGTTTGCGTCTGGATGGAAGCAGAGAGGTACAGTGCCACAGGGCTACTGTGGTTGCGGACACCAGCATGAACCTGTTGTGAAAAGAGCATGAGACAATCTAGTTCAGGAATGTCCATCACCCTCCCCCACCACGTGGAGTCAGGCCGCTGCCTTAGCTCATGGGCCTCCGGAACTCTCTGTAGGTGATCACATCAGTGGTTCTTATTGAGTGAGAGAATGGCTGCATAGTAGGACCAGGCAGAAAGAACCAGACTGAAGAACTAGTGGTGAAATTTTGTAGGGAACCACAATCCTTTCAATTGTAGATAATGCACAACTCTGTATATGAAGCAAACCATTACTGAATGATAAGCTGAGAGAGCGTGCCAAGACTACTGTCATAATCTGCAGGACACAAAGATACATCACTAATCATAATACAAGGGACTTTAGAAGGGATTCGTAGCTTTTCATAAATTAGAGTGGAGGACAAGCGAGGAGTGAGTTGCTATAACTCTATATAGTGTGTCATTCGGCCTGAATTCCAACCCTTCTTGAGTGATGGGCAGGGACGAAGGATAACTGGGGGTTGCAAACACAGGTGCCCATGTCCCCAAGTGTGTTTTGTAAATGTTGGCATCTTCATAATTTGTGTAGAGTAAAAAAAAAGGCTGAGACCCACTGAACTACAGTTTCTCCGAGGAAAATTTTAAGGACTTGAATAGTCTGTCTTTAGCACCAGCCACAAAGTGGGTTTGAATTCAGGGGACTTATGTTCCAGGAGTTTCCACAGCATTTATTTCTTCTCTACCAAGAAACTTCCTAACTTTCCATTTTTTATCTTCCAGAATAATTGATTTTGATAGTAAGTGGTTAAATTGACTTCCATGTACTTATTTGACTTATGGAAATATGAGAGCACCAGCTGCCATCCTGGGTCAGCATTCATAAATCCAACATGGTCATGGCCACACTGACATCTTTTCCCAACCTTTTATCTCACTATCAAAAGAGCCTTTTTAGAAAGCTCTTGATTTCAGTCCTTTAGAAAGAAGTCTGATCAGATTTTCTTAGACATAAGGAAGCAAGGAATGCAAATGCTAAGGGCTCAAGTGCTTTTGGGGTGAGAATGTAATATTTTTAATATTCAATAACATTACATACACCTGAAAGATAGAGATTCAACCCACAGAAAAGTATTAGTTTGGCTTAAAAAAAGGGGGAAACTTCAATCCAAATTCATAGGGATTACAAAAATAACAGCACATTTCATTAACCCATTATAGCTCAGAGTTACCATCACATTGAGAGATAGGAAGAGCATCCTTAAATTAATTGCTTCTTGCCAACGCAAATCTCACAACATAGAAAAAGAAGTTTATGTTCATATTTACAGAAGAAACATGCTATTGTTTCTTAAAATTCTCCTCGGAATTAATAGGTGAGGCTATTAATTCACTCGAATTGAAGAAGGTGTTTTGGAAACATCTCACGATGCGTTTTATCTAACACCACCGAACAGTTCTGCGTCCTCTTCTGAAGATCGTGCTTCTGCACGATCGTGCTTTTACCGCAGGGCTTCCGGAACTTCCACCTACAAAAATAGGGGATTTTCTTTCAATGAAACAACACAAATGATGAAAAAAAGTGAAAAATTATCTGTAGGAT